AAGGCATGTTTGTCATACGGATCAAATTATCCACATTCGTATTACGGATAGTTTGTAATCCATATTCCGTTTGCTTGAAATTCTACTTAAACGACTCCGTGAGGAAATGAGAACGTGGGAGGGTGGAGGACAAATACGCGTAGTTGCAAGATCGGACGATCTTTGTGAATGGCAATCAGTCAACAATTTGCCCCTCACTATAAATAGTTGTATCTCAGCCTAATAACCAATTTTGCTGTAAGTGCATAAAAGCATCAGGAGAATACTAACGCGTGCTCCAGGTGCGCAGGATACCTGTAAAAGAAAAGCAGTCGTTAGTCACTGAAATTATATTCATATCATAGGCCGTTCTATTATAACGTCTGATATTGCAGTTGTAAGCAGCACAGCATGCATAAGTGTTCACACATGAACATAAATGTTAATTTCCGATTTTTAATGAAAGCCTTGGTCGTACGCTCTGCTTTTTACTGACATTAGCTTTTCTCGATTCAGGCGTGTGTTAGTAACCCCACCTGTCCTTCATTCTGACTTGAAAGGGTTGGTAATAAAGATCTCAATTTATTGATATCATATTTTATTCTTGACTAAAAATGCAATTAATTAAAAATTGACCAAATATATTGCATGTTATTTATCAACTTTACATCACACATCTCCAGAACAGTTTGAGCTACAGCGCCCAGATTTTGAGGAAAATCCTAACTCGGCACGTTCTAGAGTCGTAGAAAATGAGAACGAAGTCGAAAAGGGTCGCAAAGAGTGGCCCAGAAGAGTAAGCTATACGATCCCTGGAACCTTTTGGTGACCACCACTGATTTTGTTAAAATATTTTTTATGGAAAGTGCTCACTGGAAGATTATTTCCTGCAAAATCCAGGCACTGTAGCCCAAATGGTTCTGCAGACATGCGCATGTAAAGACGTCAAGAAACCAATGAATTAGTGGAATTTTTGTTGAAATTCACATAAAATACCCTATAGACCCTTTACAGCCTGCTAAAACCAGTGCCAAGCCTTATCTAGGGGTGCAAACAACAACGCTTTCAAGCACCATTGAAATCTGACTGTATCACCGCGTAAAGCCCTCCCTTGCAGGTGAGACCTATTTAAGTATTAACGCACGATTTCTTTCTCACCTAACACATCATGCCTCCATTGTTGAGATTTCATTTACATTTAAGGAACGCTTGGTAATAGTATAGAACAGTGACTCAGAGCCGATGAGTCACTCTTCTATGCCAATATTTTGAATCAGGCGTAGTCTTTGATCCATGAGCAATATTTTAAAAAACCCAGCCGGCCCGATCAATGTCAGGACTAGCCGTAAACGTAAGTTATTCTGTCGTGTTCAAAGTCCGCCTGAAGAGCGGCGACGTATATTTATTTAATTTTCCGGTAAACCAGACTAGAGCGCCAATAAATTGAAAGTGTTCGGGATTATTCTCAAAAAGCCCTTTCCAATGGTATAGAAGAGTGACTAATCGGCTCTGAGTCACTGTTCTATACTATTACCGAATGCTTCGCTAGTCAGAAATTAAAATGAATACAAAGGACCCTTTTCTCATAAGCGTGGAACTTACGGTGGTTATGGCAAGGGCCAGGACAACAAACTTCAGCGCCATCGTGAGCTGTCAGCAGATCGGCTTTGTGCCGCCGGAAGAAACTGACGTTCCTTTATACTACGTCCATCTGTGCTCAAATGCCTGATAGCAATTCAAAGAACGACATCTATAATCACCCGAACGAAGCCACTAAAAATACTGACTAGGCATGTTGGTGACCTGCACTCAACACGCTACACTGTATAAACAGTTAATCGACTTAGACCCCTTTTCATTTTTCCTAATGACACAACTAAAAATTGTGGACATCTGAAAAGAGTTTAGTCGACTTGTGACCGCGGAAAAAAGGGTTAGCTACGGAAACCGCACTGTAAATGGGTTGGCGTCTTATGACGCCAAAATATTGGCGTCCTCTATAGAACGCCAAATTTTGGCGTCTTTAAGAATATGGCGTCATAGGACGCCAAAATTTGGCGTCATAAGACGCCAATGTTTTGGTGTCAAAAGACGCCAACCCGTTTTCAGTGGAACCAAATGGCTTTGATCTGGTCGTAGAAGTGGGTTGTTCGTGGGAACACCGTCCCATACTGGGGCGAAAAAGGAAATTTAGGGTCATAAAGGTGATTTCTTTAGAGTGAGTTTAGAGTTCAGCCAACCGTGCTGTTCAGAAAGGACCAAAGCTCTTTCTCCCGTTCTTGTCAGACACGTGTGTTGCCGATTTCAGTGCAAAAATAGGCCTCAAAATCAGTCAAAATTAAATACTTTTGCTCGAACTGTGCAAGGGGTCCGAAAAAGCCAGAATTTACGCTAATTACGAGAAGATAATGCTTTTGAATATGATATTGTTGGAAAGAGATAGGTCCAAGGAGTCTCACGAGCTTCACTTTTACGGTTTTGGCCCTACTGCTTTCGTTCAATATTGAACTCTTGTTAAGATGCAAATACTGGTGAACACCTCCGTGACCGTTAGAGTAGACCGTCCACCGCTAGGTCGGACCGACAAAACTCGGTCGCCGGTGTTCCTGCATAGACACACATCATACCAACTTATTCGGCCATTAAAACGTCCTCGGATGACGACTCAATCCATGCAAGAGGACGGAAACCATCGAAAAAAGGACCGTTTTGACTGAGTTGGCTCATTTCAGACCCCCTTCCTTGAGGACAGGCAACACACCCCAGAGGGCTCAGGGAGGGGGGGGGGCATTTTCTTGTTCCTTGGTATTTACTGAATCCAAAGAGACCTGTCCCGTCGAAATTGAGCGATTGGGGCCGATTTTATAAGCATTTGAAGAACTTTAGGTAATTGGGAAAAATGTCAAAACTTCAAGAGGGCGGCGCACTGTCTAATTTTTCAAAAATCAAAAATCGCCGAGACACGTAACTCTTAGTTTTCGATAGAGAATCGATTAAGACCCGGTGCTCCAAAATTCAAGAAACTTTTTGCAAGCGGTGGACGGTCTACCGTTAGAGGCTAGTTGACCTGACGTAATTTCAGGGCCATATTGTCACGTGTAGCGAAATGTAGCGGGTCTTTCTCACAATGGCAGTAAAAGGAGCAAAAAACTCTTTTTTGACAAGGGGTGCAAACTTACGTTACAATGAGTTATCATTGGTTATTTTGGGTTAGGTTTCGATGAAGTTAGACTGAGACAGACCTAATGCACGATTCTGATAAGGAAAATCGCTAACCCATAGTAACCTAAGATAACCCAACCAAACAAACGCAGGCATTTTCGTCCTGTCGCGAATTGAATGGTCCTTGCATGAAGAGCTACAGAGCGTACACACACATATTTTTAATCGTCTCGTTTGCAATATATAAAATATACCCTGATTTTAAGTAACGGTTAAAAACTTCCAATTTTCTTCACCTTTTACTCCGTTTGTGGACTTCATGAGCTTTTCCAGGACGTCAAAAAGATATACCAGACCCACAAAAATTGCAAAAAAAGCCCCGGGAATGGCTTCAGAATACCCGAATACCGCTGGGTACCAATTTTGACAATGGACGTCAACGGCGGCATTACGATGTCCTCGACGATGACTGCAGGGCCCCATGGTGACCCTGGAGGTGCCAACGGACAAAAAAAGTGGCTTAGCAGACTCTAAAATCTTTGGGTACGACTTTTGGTACCAATCCGAATGCTCTAGACTTTTTTGACTCTAAATTTCCGTTTTCGTCCTAGTGTGCTTCCGGTGCCGTTTACCGAACACTGCTGGAACATGCATTGCCTTGTGGCCACCACCCAGCTGATTATTTTTCATTTTTAGCCCGCCCTTCTGCTTTTAAAACACATTAAAGCGGGCTTACGCAACTGCTCTTGTGTCCGTCTGTCTGTCGTCCGTGTAAGAGGAAGGAGATAAGCTAGAGGTCTACAAATTTCAGGGTATCTTAGGAGTCACTACTGGAGAACGCAACGCCTGGTGCAAATCCTGGCAACCACCCCTAAGGGGGTGAAAGGGGGTAACAAAGAAATAGCTGTTAGTCCAAAAAGTAGGCAAAAAGTATTCATATTATGATCTCCTAAGGGGTAACTCGTGAAAGTAAAACCCTTTGACCGCAACTTTTGTCCGTTTGGCTCTATCTTGCACCGTTTGGGCGCTAGAGTGCTTTTTAGCAGATGATACCTTTAAAACCTTTTGACTAAACACAAAGAATATATAAGTAACTCTAAGGTGTCAGCTTGCTTTAACTCTCGATAAGGACAGAGAACCAAGCAGAGACCAGAAAACAATTTATTTGGCGCTAGGGGAATCAGTGAGTGGCTGTCCGAGTGTCGCCTAGTATCGATGTAAAGGCCCCCGACGCCGGCCGCTCTGCTCTGCCCTCATCTCATTAACGTAGTACGCCGAATTACAAAATTGCAAGTAATAACAAGCAGCCATAAAAAAATTACACCTAAACATGAGGGAAAATTAGAAAACAGCCCTATTCTTAAATTTGTATCATCTGCTTTCAAGATAGATTCTTGATTTAGATTTTTCGACGAAACTACCCATTTTCGCGCTCGTGTGTGTGTACCTGTCGCCACCGCGGGACAAGGGAACAAAACAAACTTGTGGTGGAAAAGTGCAGTATCGGCTGAGAAAAGAAAAGAGGAATAGTGTGGAGGTGGTTATAAAGCATGGTTGAATGCAGTAGATATTCTGGGTTACATGGAGGTCACTGGAATGAATGGCAACCGGCTGATTCCGTAAATTTTGGAGACAGGAGAAATTTATTCCCTTTCGTCATTTTTCTAAATTTTCTAGATGTTCTCAAGCAACCCTCCTTGTTCAATCCCGAGTAACGGTTCAACCCCCACGACTTCGTCAAGATTTTGAGATCTCTCAGGTTTAGTGACAACAGACAACACCTGGAAATCAAGATATGTATTTTAGGTTTGCAATAATTTGAATATGTGCTAATGTTGGAGTATTTTATCATAACAAAGTAACTTACATATTCTCGAGTTTTCAGAGGTTGGACTGAGCAAACGGGGTTAGTCGTAGCAAATTGAGGTGGCTGTTCTGAGTCTGTAAGTACATGAAATGCAATCAATTAAATGATGATTTCATCAAGATCCCGATCAACGTCAACATTTTTTGATTTATTAGATAGCTTTTCCTGCCTAGTCTGCTTCACTCGCCTCTCCCGTACTGACGTGTTGTATTGCTTGCACTTTAAGTGAAATATTCCCACAACAACCATGTTTAGGGGACAAGTTTTAATGTGATCCTTGTGTGGACTGCAGGTGAGCCAGTTGATAAGTCCTGCAAGGAAATCAGATACAATAGCCTTTATGCCAACTTTGGATCCTACTTGCTGCCACTGTTTGTCTTAAACTTTCTGAGCCATTATATAAAAATTTGGTCACATTTGGAGAAGGCTTATCTGAAGAAGTTTCCTGAAGCAACTGAAGTACAAAGTCTTGGGAGTCTTCATAAACCTTTCGTACATTGTTCACAGCGGTGTACAGAAATTAATAATTTACTACAAATTGTAGCACAGTTCAATGATTGAGTCGGTCTCATAAACTTGTTTGTTGCTGTTGGTGCGGGCTGCTGCGCAGGGCGATGTCCTCTCTGGAGGAATGATCCTTCGGGACCCTGAGGACCCTCCATCTCACTGCTGGCTTCATTTAACATTGCTTCCAGCTGCACCAGGAAGTCACAAGCATCATCTTCACAGTTCCCCTTTCTACCAATTGATAGGATACCAATTGATAGGATGTTACATGCGATTGCTGTTTTCGCATCTGAGTTGGGGAACAGTAGGATCCGTATTATTGCCATTACTCGAGCGCAGTCCCCGAAAGTAATTTTCAAGAGGGTCTTGGTTGGTGTACCTCAGTATTAATGTGTCACAACCTAACGACTTTAGTTTGTTCCACACAAGCCCCAGGCCAGTCAGACTTTCAATGAAACCTAAAATGCAGGTTGGAACATGGTGACCACCAGTGGATTTTCTAATAAAAACCCACTTGGATAGCTTCCGTCTAGCTTCTATCCAGAAGGAATGGTGAAATGAGTCTGCAGTGACATTTTGACTGTACTATTTCTCATTGTCTATTTCACATTTCGACACCTGAAACCTATACACACGGAGTTCGTGGAGGCTCCGTATAAACACGCAGTTCGCGGGGGCTCGGTACAAACACGGAGTTCAGCAGGCCGCCGTATAGCGTCGTAAGTATGGTTTTTGAAAATTTCGAGTTATGACGTGCGTCGGATAGAGGAAACCAATGGCTATCGATCAGCGAAAACCGCATTTCGATATGTCAATTAGTTCAAGAGTAATTCTGGTTTGAAAATCCAGCCGGCCATAAGGCGCAATGTAAATCTAAAACTTTGAAGCGCTATACCTCAGAAGTGACTTTCAAGCACTTACGACGTTATAAGGGGACCCGCTGAACTGCGTGTCTGTACGGATCTGCCTGGAACTACGGGTTTATACGGAGACTCCACGAACTCCGTGCTTGTACGTTTCAAGTGTCGATTTAAGTAAATCCCCTTGTGATTGTCCCAAAACTTTGTGCAAATTTAAACTAACCAACTGCCTCTGGTGTTTTCAGTCCAGCTGCCTCTGGTCTTGTCAGTTCTAAAACTGAATCCTCTATCTAGACATCAGGCTCAGTAGGAGCAGAAGGAACATCTGGCACGTTGACAGGAGCAGCAGTTATGTC